GAATGTTTGTGAGTTACTTGTATTCCTGGGCGACAAGTGAACGAAAACCAAAATGTGAGCTTTAATAGCCATAATATAAACAAAAAAATACATTACATTTTCAGTTTCTTTTACTTCAAAGAGTACTGCAATAGGTTGCTGGAGAAAAACAACTAGCCAAATAAAAGATAGGCTTTCAAAAAAAAAATTCGACCTTGAATTTGCAAAATGTTTGGAATAGCCCTTTCTTTACGAGAAAATATTGCCCTTTCTCTTTTACACACAACGCCAAATGTGTTATCATTAAAAGGAGTATTCTCTAGGCTTTCTGAAAATACTAATTATGTTACAACACCTCATATAGTTCACACCTAAGAGCTGGTCAACTTAGCAAATATCATCTAAAAACGTCATATTGGCAAGTTTTCTCAAATAAACTTCATATAAATAATCGCGTTAAAATTATTTATCAGAGAATATGTGAGTTTACAGATATCTATTAAAACATAAGAGGCACCATTTTGAATAAGTTTATTTTTGCGAGTAAGTTAATTTATTTTAAAACAGTCAAACATAAAGCTTTTATAGCTTCCATAGAAACGAAATATGGCATTTTCTATTGACATTACCTTATTAAGCACTGCAATAGCTAGCTAAATGAAAACATCAGCCATATAAAAGGTGGGTTCTTTTAGAAAATCGGTCACCCATTGCAAATATTTTAAACAATCCTTGCTTTGCGAAAATACAGTGTCCTTTCTTTTTTTCATACAATATTAAGTTTGATATCAATAGAAAGAGTATACTCTCAGCTTTTTGAAAATACTAAATATGTTACAATATCTCAAATAGCTCACACGGAACAGCTGACCAAACTCTGACAAATATTGTCAAATGGACAAACTCTGACAATATTTAAAACAAGAGTGAAGATAAGTAATCAATGTAAAAATATTGACCATAAATAATCGCTATTCTGAGAGTGGCGAAAAAAGTTCCATTGCACTACCAAAAAAAAGAAGGTAAAAACTTGTAAGGAGAGAAACATGGCACCTCCGACATGCAAAAGAAAGGTCAGTTTGCGCCTCGGCTGCTTAAAATGTCCATAACTCGAGAACAAAAATCGCCCTAACTTGCGGCTTGCACTCCCTAGCTGTCACGATATGCTTTTCACCAAAATGTTTTCGTCAAACTTAAAAATTTGACCCCAAATGAGATGAAACTACCCACCTATCGAATGTGAATAAAGCTACATAGTACTCGTTCCGGGTTCAAAACTACGATGATTTCTATTATTCTCTGGCGAGGAGAAAAATATCACTTGCGTTTTCCCATGGGAATACAGAGGAAGACTGGAAAAGTAGACTGGTTGCTACCTGCTTCAATTTGTAACCGGGAGTCCCATAGACACTACCGCCAGCTGAGCCTCTAGGGTTTATTGCGATAACTTTGTGGAGCCAATCATGGGCTCGGAGGTTCCGAAGCGCGTGATCGCTTCTCCGGCCGTCCCATTCGTGCGGAGAGGACGTAATCGGAAAAAGAGAAGGCGGCGTCTCTTCGCGAGGATGCGCTCTCAACTCAGTCATCTACAGCATGGCGCGAGGGAGAAGAGTCCGAGAAAAAGTCTTGTTACGTCGATTTACTGCAACTTCTACTTACAGATTTTTGTGTATATTGGTAGAACAGTAAATAGCTGCTCTGGTAAAGTATATAGACAAGTTGTGATTGTTATTTAATTTGAGATATTCATCTGGTCCTGTGGCGGCTATCGCAACAATCGCGCCTTTTGATATATTCGACTGTAATCTGTAGCGTGTATGAAACTGCAGGAGAAAAGATTAGCTGGTTACATAAAAAATTGGATATAAATAACAATAATCATGCTGCACTTTTTTTTAAAATCTCTGCAAGTTGTTTGACGAAGCTTTTTGAGCTTGAGTACGAAATCGGTTTTTGTATAGTGCAGTCCGCCTTGTCCTTCTTTTAATATTTTTAATACTTATAAGTAATTTTTGCAGGTCATATTATGATGTTTTCTTCTACTAGAAGTACCTTTAAGTCGGGGTTACACTGCTCATAGATTATACAAAATACAGTTTGCAGATATCAGTCACCACGATATCCCTGGTTCAAATGGCGCGTGCCAAGTGTCTCCTTGAACTCTTTGACGTGCGGCGTTCGAAGCTCAGATCTCGTGATGTCTCTCGTTTGAATATGTTCACGGACCGCCTTTCGTATGATGCATTAACAGTGTGACGCCGGCTTTAGGGAAAAAAATATGGCGATGAGATAAGACCACCTCGCAATGATTTCGCCATTTTTTTTTATAAACTTCGTGATAATTTTAGGTACTGATTCCAACGGTGGGGCGGTCTCTTATAAACGCCTATGTTTTGACTCATGTAGCACAAGCCACCGTATACTGTTATGCACCTTGCAATGTAACTTGTTTGATATGCGAAAATACAATAGAATCTCTAGAAAAAGAACTCTGGTATATTTATGAATTCCAATCCTGTTCCAACCTTGTTTATTGCGTATTCCAACCTGGTATATTTACAGATTCTTAACCTTGAATTTCAAGATTAGACGCGAAGTAGTTTGCGATGCAGTGGCTTCAAGCAGTTCCTATTGATACGCTACCTTGTCTTTCATTGTCATGGCTGTGTTCGGACTTGTACACAATACTAAAAAATGTAAGGAATTACGTTTGCAATTACACACAGCTATATTGTAACTAATTATGGTTACAATTACCCTTCCATAAAAGTAAGTGACCGTTACCACAAAAAGTAACTCGTTACTTTCGCGGCGTTACTTTCTACCCTAGTGTTCTATGGTAAGACACAGAACACAAGAATGTTATGGAAACGTTTATTGTTGCCAGCAGTCACTTTTCTGACCTTGAGCAGCAGCTGGCTCTCGAAAGTCTCGTTAGACTCTTGTCTCGTTCTAAGTGCAGATGTCGTCCGCTACGCTGAACACCCTTTAATTCAGGCATTCAGGAGTGCCTGATGCACTGCATTGCATGCTTCTTGAGAAGAATAGAACAGGTTCTTGCCCTGGTAAAGCGCAAAGCTTCGTTGTTACAGCCAGAGGTTGATGCTGTTAGAATCGCAAAGCTATAAAACTTTTAATGCAGATAATTAGACTTCAAATAAATTTAATGTGTGAATATATTATATACAAATATTTTAGCCGCCATATAACGGAAAACGGCGGAATAGGGAACTGGCAACACATTACACAGCAATTAAGCGAATAAATAAATTATAGTATATGTATTACATCAATCTTCATTTAGCTATAACTAAACACAAGTTGCGCCTTTGTTGAGACGTTGGTGAATAAGAGGATGGAGGTTTTTGGATATATAACCAGAAAAAACATGAACGCTCTCAGAAAACAAAGATATAATGTCGATTCAAACGGAAAAGTTGACAAAGGTATACAAAGCCTAGTGTCTCTTAATAACGTCCAAAACGCATGTGGTACGGGTCGGCCTTACCACAGCTCTGTGTTCTCGAACCAAATGTCAGGTTACAGAGAGAGCTTGTCACAGTCGCCCCCGCCTGGAGGTTAGAGGCGCGATTCCCCCTTGACGGTTCGCCCGCCGGCCCTCTACAACGACTGAGTACAATATTTATTTTTGTTGAGGCCGGTCAGCCCGCGCGGTTGGCGCGTGTGCTCAAGTTGGGGAAGAACGGAATGAGTTCAGGCGGACACATAGACTGAACAATGAACAATATATTTACTTGAAAGAAAAAGAAATATAAATTCAAGGTTGGCCCAAAGGCAAACGATACACAACAAAAAGAAAACCTCATAGCTCCACACGGAACTTCAATCAGTATTAAAACCAAATGAAACAATAGAGAAACGGTTGGCGCGCTACAGCAATACAAAATAAAGACAATGAAACAAAGGACCCAAGCCACGGACGGAGAGCAAGTGAAAGTAAAACGTCCGGAAGAGTAAAGTCCGAAGTGTACGGACGGGTCTCACTCAAATTTGGTGTCGGAGGGGCATCGTCGGGCTCTCGGCGGTGGTGAGCTGGCAGGAGGACGGCGGCGGTGACGATGAAGAAGCCTCAGTAGAAATCGCGTTGCCGGACCGCCATTCCCGCCGACTTAACCCCGCAACCACGAACGTCCTGTCCCCTTGACGATCCAAAAAGCTCTCCCCCGAAAAACTACCCCGGCTCCCCACGAAGCCCGTCCCGAACCGTCCCTCTCCACGGCGGCGTCAAAGGCGCCATTCCCGCCTTTGTCGGCGCCGAGGGTACCCCCCCCCCCCCCGGAAAAAAAAAAAAGAAGAAACAAACAAAACTGGCTTTCGTCTTCCCGTTTGTGTCGCCGCCACGCGAGGCGGCTCACCGAAAAGGCAAATTGGCGAAGGGGCACGGCGAGCAGCACAAAAACACAAAGAAAAAAGTTCGCGGGAGAGACGGCCGGCGCCAGAGTTTGTGACACTGCCCCCCTCTCTAAAAATATTATGCAGTAATATTGTGTACAACACAAACAATGGGGACGCACGAAAAGAAAAGGAAAAAAAAATAGTAAAATCCTTTCCGTAAAACACTTTCACTTTCAATCTACACAGCACGAAGTCTTGTCTCCTGTTGTCTGGCCTTGAGGCGATCGACGACTCCGTGGGCACCATCGAAGCGACACGTTCTGGCTAGTCCACGATCGTACTTCAAATGACTTGAACACAACACACCACACACGGTCGATTGGCACCCGACAGTTAGCCTTGACGAAAGAAGTTCGTGCTAGTCCACACACAAAACCGACAACTAAGTGAGGCAATTAATACTTCTGATCATTAAGAAAAGCAAAAAGAAAACAACCCATCTTCCACGCGTAACATTCGCGCAGCGTACATACACAGGTTACAATATTCATACGAGAAAACTTGCATTGAATTCCAGACAATAGACAAACACTAGAAAAAATGGAGAAAGGCCGCAGAACCAATGAAAAAGAAAACCGCTGCGGCGTGTAAACGCGGTCACATATCTAGTCAATCCGGCTCATGTAGTCGGCTCCCACATTCTCACTTCCCTTAATATACTCAACGCGGAAGTCGTACACCTGGAGTCTGAGACTCCAACGGAGAACTCGGCAGTTGGCTGACTGGGATTCCTTAATGAACCTTAAAGGCTGGTGATCCGTCTGGACCAGGAACCTCCTCCCGTAGAGAAAGGCTTGGAACTTTTCTATCCCCCAAACCAGTGCCAATGCTTCTTTCTCTATCGTCGAGTACGCAACCTCGCGTGGAAGCAATTTGCGGCTAGCATACGCCACGGGGTGCAGCACTTCTCCGTGTCTCTGGAGAAGCACGGCGCCTACGCCTCGGTCGGACGCATCTGTCCGCAGGATAAAGCTTTTCTCAAAATCGGGCAGCTTCAAGATGGGCGCATTTGTCAACTGCTGCTTGAGGCGTACAAACGCGTTCTCGTGCTCGGAGCTCCAGCTTACGGTTCCGGGCTGGCCTTTCTTTGTAAGGTCGGAAAGGACGGCCGTCTCGGCCGCATAGTTGGCAATAAAGTCTCTATAATAACCCGTGAGCCCCAAAAATGACCGAACCTGCCTCTTTGTGGTCGGACGCGGTGCGTCTTGAATCCTTTGAAGGGTTTTAGGGAGTGGTGACTTCTCGCCTTCCCTGACCGTGTGACCCAAAAAGGCGACCTCCTGCATCCCCACTTCACACTTGAGCGGCTTTACAGTTAGGCCGTCATTTCGGATACGTGTGAAAACCTCGCGAAGGGTTTCACAGTGCTGTTCCCAGGTCGTGCTCGCTATGAGCACGTCGTCATAATAACAGGCGACGTCGGGCACGCCGGAAAGAATCGTCCGCATCAATCTAGTGAAAATGGCGGGTGCAGTCTTGATGCCGAATGGCATGTAGCGGAACTGATAATGTCCGGTGTCAGTTGAAAAAGCAGTCAGTGGCTTGGAGTCCTCCGACAGCGGCACCTGCCAGAACCCTTTCGCGAAATCCAACTTCGTAAAAAATCGTTTCTGGCCGACTGCTGCCAGCAGATCGTCAGAGCGAGGCATTGGCTCTGCGTCGTCCACAAGACACTCATTAAGGTTTCGGAAATCAATGCAGACTCTGTGCGTCCCGTCCGACTTCTGCACGGCGAGCAGCGGGGAGTTGTGTGCAGATACTGATCGCTCGGCGATGCCCAGTCGTAGCATGTCAGACACTTCTTGGTCGACGACTTCCTTTACGGCAAAAGGCAGCGGGTACTGTTTCACATGAACCGGCAACTCGGTACGCATGTCCAGTTTGCACTCTGCCGATCCGGTCGTCCCCGGCAGGTCCGAAAAAATAACCTCGAACTCCCGGAGGAGTTCCCGTGCCTCCGCCAGCTGCTCCTCCGTCAAATTCGAGCCAATTCTAACGTCACGAGAAAACTGCGTCTGGTACGGCGGTGGCAACGTAATATCGCTCGAGTCACCTTCCTCTGAAGGGAGGACAGCGCTTGCTCCGGCCACGCTGGCGCTTGTCGCTCTTTCCTGGTGCTTTTTCAGCATATTAATGTGAAACGTCTTTGTGGAGTGGCCCAAATCCACGGCGTAGTCCACGTCCCCTCTTCTATCGACGACGGAAAACGGCCCCCTCCACTGCATGAGCAGCTTGTTATGGTCAGTCGGCAACAGGGTAAGAACCTGCTCTCCCGGCTTCAGGGAGCGTTTTCGGCTTTTCAGATTGTAATAGCGGCCATACCGCTCCCCGGCCTTCTCCAGCTCCTCGTGAGCGAGCCTGCAGGTGTGCTCCAGCCGCTCACGGAGAGCAAGCACATACTCGTAGGTCGTCCTCGTGTCACTTGGGATTTCCGAATTTGTCCACAGCTCTCTAAGAACGGAGAGGGGTCCCCGGACGCTCCTCCCGTACAGCAACTCAAATGGCGCAAAACCCAGGCTCTCCTGCGGTACTTCGCGGTAAGCAAAGAGAAGCGGCGCCAGGTATCGATCCCAATCATTCGGTTTTTCGCGACACATACGTTTTAGCATCTGCTTGAGCGTACCATTAAAACGTTCCACCAACCCGTTAGCCATAGGGTGGTAGGGAGTGGTGTGGAGCTGCTTCACTGATAGCAGCCGGCTCACCTCTTTCATCACTTCGGATGTGAAGTTGGTGCCCCGGTCGCTCAAGACCTCCCTCGGGTCGCCGACGCGGGAAAACATCTGGACAAGCGCCTCGGCCACCCTCTCAGTCTCGATGCTCGGGAGCGCCACCGCATCCGGGTACCGCGTCGCATAGTCGATCATTGTTAGAATATATCGGTTCCCTTGAGCTGACCTGGGGTTCAGCGGCCCCACAATGTCGACCGCCACTTTCTGAAAAGGGGTGTCAATTATCGGCACCTTCACCAAAGGCGCTTTCCTCGTGTGGCCTTTCGGAGTCGTCCGCTGGCACGTGTCGCACGAGGCAACATACCGCTTAGCGTCAGCCTGCATTGCCGGCCAAAAGAACTCTGCCCGCATTTTCAGCAACGTTCTTCTTGTTCCCTGGTGGCCGCCCATTACCCCGCCATGTGCGAGCTCCAAAACCGCATTTCGGTATCTCTTCGGCACAACCACTTGCACGAATTCGCCTCCAAACTTTGACGTATACCTTCGGGTGAGCACGCCACCGTGCATGAAAAACGTATGGCTGTCGCCTTTCCTACCGCCACACGTTTGATCCAACTTCCCAAAGCAGGCCTTAAGGGTCGGATCCTTCCCTTGCTCCTCAATCAGCTCCTCGCGGCTTATTCCCGGAAGCTCTCTGTTCACCTTGAGTCCCCGGAATGGCGTTTTGTCGCGACTCTGGGCCCTCGTGACCACTGGATTCGCCTGTGACGTACTGGAATCGGGTGCGCTGCAGCCGCCCTGTTCCTCCAGAACCACAGTCTCTCTTTCACAACTGACTTTTTTCTCCGGAGTCTCACGATCCCCGACCAGCGGCGGTGCCGCGGGTGCAGTCACGGCGCTCCAGTTTGGATCCGGATCGTCGGCACGCCTTACACCCTCAACATTCCCCAAGATAGGATCGTAAATCGGGTCGTCCATACATTTGGCCCGCAGGCGGCCCTTGAAATAAGGGGTGTCTACGACAACCCACGCCTCCGGCAGCATCAAAACGGAGCGGTCCAGAAGGTAGATAAGCAATTTCGTCCCCGTTAAGCTTTCGTCGTGAACCAGGCCGCGTCGCACAATGACGGTGTTACAGCCTGTGTCCCTAAGGACGCGGGCTCTTTCGCCCTCAACCAAGCCAGTAACCACGGGCAGGCCCTCGCTCATTTCGAAGTCTTTACGTGCTAAACCCGTATTAACCACGGGGACCTTCTCTCCATTCCTGAGCTCCACGTACCCCTCCTCAATACACGCAGAGGCCGATCCTCTGTTTGTCTCCTTAGGTTTTGTCGAATCCCCCTGCCAGCATTTCCAACTTGAGTGGCCAGTCTTCCCGCATTTAAAACAGCGCCTTTGCTGCGGACTCTGATTAGGCGCACCCGCCCGGCAGTTTTGGGCGACATGACCAGGGCGCGAGCATAGAAAACATATCTTGGCCTCCAGGCCCCTGGCCGCGGACATCTGGTTAGGAGTACCCGGCTTTTCATTACCTCTCGGGGAGGCTGCCTCCGTCTTTTCCTTCGGAGCGGCGCGTTTCGCGAAGTTGGCCCACCCATGGGCCTCCACATACTGTTCCGCCCTTGCCACCATGTCGGCCAAACGGGCATCCTCCTTCTCTCGGAGAAATAACTCCAAAGGAGTGGCGCAGTTGGCCAAAAATCGTTCCCTCAGAAAAAGGTCAAAAAGCGCCTCATAGTCTTTTGTTGTCTGCGACAACTCGACCCAACGGTCCAAAAAATTGCGGAGACGAGTGCAGTACTGAGAGCAAGTCTCTCCGTTCATTGGGGCGGCGCTCCGGAACTTCTCGCGGAAGCCCTCTCCTGTCATGCGAAATCGGAGCATGAGCGCCTGCCGCAACTTGTCATAGTCTGTGCAGTCCGGTGTCGGCATCCGGCTAGACACACTTAAGGCCTCGCCACTCAAGCAAAGGCTCAGGGCCGTAGCCCACTGTTCTCGCGGCCACTTCTGACCTTCAGCAACGCGCTCAAACCGCAGCAAATAAGCGTCTAAATCATCCTTCTGCTCATTGAACGGCGGCATCAATTTATGGGGCGCAACTACGCCTGCTCGGGTCGTATGGCCTCCTGATTCAGCTGTACTTGTGTCGCTCTGACCTGTGCTGTCCCGCTCTCGTTGCAACAAAAGCAATTCTTTCTCACTTTCCATTTCCAGCAATCTTAGCCTTGTTTCCTCTTCCCTTTTATGTAGCTGTTGCTCAGCCTCCTCCTTGCGCCAAACACGCTCTGCGTTGCGCTCTTCCCTGCGCTGCGCTCTCTCCTTCTCAACCCATGCAAACAACTCCTTGGCCTCTAAACCAAACTGCCTTCCTTGCTCAATCAACTTCTCAACCTCCGAATCCGCCATCGCTCAAAAACAAAATAACCGTAGCACCCTACTCTACTCGAACATTAAGAACTCAGTCCGTCCACCGAAACTGGGCACTTGGCTGACCGGTCCTGTCGCGGACGCCAGTTATTGTCACAGTCGCCCCCGCCTGGAGGTTAGAGGCGCGATTTCCCCTTGACGGTTCGCCCGCCGGCCCTCTACAACGACTGAGTACAATATTTATTTTTGTTGAGGCCGGTCAGCCCGCGCGGTTGGCGCGTGTGCTCAAGTTGGGGAAGAACGGAATGAGTTCAGGCGGACACATAGACTGAACAATGAACAATATATTTACTTGAAAGAAAAAGAAATATAAATTCAAGGTTGGCCCAAAGGCAAACGATACACAACAAAAAGAAAACCTCATAGCTCCACACGGAACTTCAATCAGTATTAAAACCAAATGAAACAATAGAGAAACGGTTGGCGCGCTACAGCAATACAAAATAAAGACAATGAAACAAAGGACCCAAGCCACGGACGGAGAGCAAGTGAAAGTAAAACGTCCGGAAGAGTAAAGTCCGAAGTGTACGGACGGGTCTCACTCAAATTTGGTGTCGGAGGGGCATCGTCGGGCTCTCGGCGGTGGTGAGCTGGCAGGAGGACGGCGGCGGTGACGATGAAGAAGCCTCAGTAGAAATCGCGTTGCCGGACCGCCATTCCCGCCGACTTAACCCCGCAACCACGAACGTCCTGTCCCCTCGACGATCCAAAAAGCTCTCCCCCGAAAAACTACCCCGGCTCCCCACGAAGCCCGTCCCGAACCGTCCCTCTCCACGGCGGCGTCAAAGGCGCCATTCCCGCCTTTGTCGGCGCCGAGGGTACCCCCCCCCCCCCCCCCCGGAAAAAAAAAAAAAGAAGAAACAAACAAAACTGGCTTTCGTCTTCCCGTTTGTGTCGCCGCCACGCGAGGCGGCTCACCGAAAAGGCAAATTGGCGAAGGGGCAAGGCGAGCAGCACAAAAACACAAAGAAAAAAGTTCGCGGGAGAGACGGCCGGCGCCAGAGTTTGTGACAGAGCTGTAATTCTAATTTTGTGAAATACAAAATACGTGAGAGTCTTACCTCGTACTTGCACGTCTGGGAAGTGTAAGCAAGCACCTTAATTCTGAAGTCGATCATCCACGAGCTAGGGAACGCGATTCTCATATGGCGGTAAGATCATCGCTGAAAGTTGTCAAATATTGCGGACGGCGTGTTCTGATAGTATTAAAAAAAAAAAAGGCGCACGAATGGGGTGGCGGGGATGTTAGCAACTTTAAGCTTTTAGAATATTAAGTGAAAGGCGGCACAAAAATACATAAACATTCGTATCTCCCAACGATGATAAGTGTTCTAACGTCTTATGAGCAACATGCCAGTTAATCTCACATCCTTTTCAGCCTATTTCTGTGTTGTGCCTTCCCTCCCGTTGTGACATTATGGAAACTTTCGCAGTCACTCTAGCCTAGGAGGGTATGGCTAATTGTCTCAATCTTTTGGAAGGCGCGCAGTCGACGATCATGTCTTGTCTTCTTCGAGTCATCGCAAGGAAAGAAGTGGAGGGACAAAAATAACAAGCCCGCACAGATCCGCTGCACCAACCAACTTGCATGCACATTAACAGTTTACTTTTCTTTCTTTTTTTTTGTTCGAATGAAACATTTCGACCGCTGGGATTTTCCTGATATTGTTTGCACTAAGAGTTCGGTTCATTCGGTGAATTCGCGTGGTTCTTTGTGCGCGCTCTTTAGCGCTCTTTCCAGAGCGCGCGAGATCGGGTGGTGGAAAGAGAGTGCGGTGGCCTGATCGGCTGGTTCTTTCCGAGGGCGCTCCTCCATCTCATAGCGCTCCCTAGCCCTCCATCTCTGTCGGAGTGCGGAGCGGCGCAGGCGTCATGTGGTACTTGGGTGGGAAGGATGACGTCCTGTCTATTTTCTGTCCCTGTCCCTTATACGTTTCGATGTTTCTTCTCCACCCCAGTCTCAGGTTAATTCAACGTGGGTTTGTTGACGATGGCCGGCAGTGCTGTGTGGGGTTGTAAGTTGTCCGGCACTAACGGCGATGAATATCAGGTTCCACAAAGTGCTTGTGCATTCGACGGGGCGAAGATTACAACGGACTGGACGACATTCGTCTGTGACCGTAACTGGAAACGTCGAGGTATGAAGTATCCCCACTGCTTTCACAAAATCGTGCATCTCACGGAGGGAAATCCGCTAAGCCTAACCGACGAAGAAACAGCTCGCAGAGCTCCCCGCTGTTGTGCCGGGATTTGTGGTCGCTTCAAAAAATTATCAGATTTGGTAAAAGTGCCTTCAAAGGTTAAAGTTTTAAAATGAAAAGAAAGCAGAATATAACGCACTCTGAGTTGTGTCACATTGCAATATGCTATATCCTGCTTGCATGATATTCCACTGTGAGAAAAATTGCGGTTTATTAACTATTTTTTATCTCTCCTGTTCGTCCGTACGCATGACGACTATCGCAGCATGTTCACTATCGAAAACGCTATGCGTTGACAACTCTTTTCCAACATTGCCTTTTGTTCCGTTCTGAAAAAATCAATTGGCATACTGCTGTTTTTTTTTCCTTTTTTACATGTCGATGTGTAGAACAAATTACCTCAAAACCATTAATTAATGTCGTTGCCAGCGTACATTTCGCTCAATCGTCCAGCCTACCCTGAAAAACATCTTTTTTGATGCGTTACTATTGTTAAGACATCTTACTTCCGTGACTGGTCTAAAATGTCAGAGCTCGCTCAACGCTACAGTTTTGATCGGCTGAAAAAATCTGCAGTAGCTCTCGCGGCATGGAGGGGGCGCTCTGTTGAATGAAGGTCAGACGAAAGAGGCGACCCCCCCCCCCCCCCCCGAATTCCCCATTTGCATGAATGCGCTACCCCCTTCGCTGCGGGCGAGCGAGCTGACGAGTTACTATTTGCGCACCAAGCAGACTTGAGAAGGAATCCGTTACATATAACCGATTACTTGTAATCCATTACTTTTCCAACTTTTATTGTAATTGCCACGTTACTTTTTTAGGAAGTAATCTGTAATGTAATATTTGTTAAAAAATATCGGTAACGGATTACTTTTATTACTTATAACTTTTTACAAATATGAGCATAATAGACCCTTTCCGAAATTCAGTCTGGCCACTTTGATCACTATCATCATCTGTGAAACGGCATCTGTGCCATACCAATGGCGGCCTTCTAGTGACTGAAAAACAACCTCCTTGCTGATAAAGGAAGACGTTGAAGATGCTCCTAAGTGGATGATGCGAGGCCTGTACATTGGGGGGTTTGTACGACGCGACGGAATGGAACACAAGAGCTACGTAAGCGTTCATTTCTAATAACTCAGACTCAGTCAATCTGTGGACGGCACACAATGGGCTTTTAAAGCCCTTTGGTGTATAGAATGTTCTCGAGGCATCGGTGTGGGTTGGAGCTTTGTTCTGACTTCAGGTTCTTGGTCATCATCGAACTGAAAGTGATCAAGAAAGAACTACCATTGAACAGTTCTTCGCGTGCCGTTGACTTGCGAAAGTGACGGTGCTGATACAATTTCATTTCCGCCATTGATATGGCAAAGCCTAAACTGCTATACGAACCACCAGATGGCACTGAATTTAGGAAAGGGACTATACCGAAGCAATGCGAGCAGAACAAACAGTAGCATAAAGAGAGCAAGTTCAACAAAATATAAAAAACTATGACCGGGAAATACGTCGAAAAAAAACACGATTTGTTTGTATGATCGGTCGCTATACTCTGTTTCCTACATAGCGTGCAACGCAGGCAAAGCTAGCACACCGGTTTGCACTACCGGCCGCCTACGTTCGCCCCATAAAACAGTGCTGCCTCTGAAAAAAAAAGCAGAAAAATGTGCATTTTCGGAGCTAGTAATTTAAAGTGGCGTTATGATTTCGACGGACCACATATTTTTTTCAGTAAAAAGAAAAATGTGATGTAAACTACTTTAAATTGTTTTCCGTTTTCGCCCGTGCGGTAGCCGCTTCGGGTTTTCGGGCTGCGCGGCTGCCCCTGCCTCGCCGGTTTGGAGAAGATGGTGTCCAAGCTGAAGTACCTCTCCTGCTCAGATATTTTCGAAAATTCGCTGTGCGAAGACCTCGAAAGAGTGCAAGCAGGTGATCGCCAACGTGTACGCGAGTACAAGAACGCGTTTCCCGGAGAAGTCGGTCCGTCCAGTCCTTGAGGCGGTCAGTAACGACACCGGAGTGTACGCCCGTACTGTCGCAAAGTACAAAGCGCAGTGCCTATCTGGCAAGGTGGCGTCCCCGAAGCGAAGACCTCGCAACGTGAAAGCTTCGAGCATGCGGACCGTGTTCTAAAACTACCTTCTGTTATGTCTGGTGTTAAAATCGACCTTACGGCTTCAAAGTCAAACAAGACTCAAGAAGGAACCGTGCCGGTGACGACTCGTGTCTACGGCTCCGTCTGATTGCCGGACGATGCTCGCGGCTGCATTTCGACGCGTCTGGTTTCTTCTGCCTGCGGGA